ATAAAAGGCAGCAGAAAGAAGAAAAAATCTTACAATATCTGTGCCTTTCCTCCATCAAATAAATTTATTAATAATAATCTTTACGCAACAAAACAAAATAAAGTAAGATTAAAAGAAACAATCAATTTTTTCTTGAACTAATAATCCATCCTAGGCAGGTTATATGATTTAATTTGGTCTGTTTTTATGGTTTTATCATTTGTGTTCTTTTAGCAATGTTTTGTTTTTAGTTTGCAATATGTGAAGCACTTTGGCCAACGGCAGTTGTTTTTAAATGTGCTATATAAATAAAGTTGACTTAATTTTGTAATATTATGACTTTTTGTCTCATAGAAGTTGACTTTATTCTCATACGTCTTTATTCTGGTAATATTTTTTTAATTAGTCTGGCCCTACGCTGCAGTAACCCTGACTCATTCGTTATTTTTTTCTCCTGATTTCTTGGCAATAATGTGCTTCCATACAGCATCCGCGTCAACCAATCAGAACAATGGTAATGGGCGGAGCCACGTCCTGTTTGGTTGTCACTCTCATTGGGTAAATAACAAACCACCCACTTATTTTGAAGCCTGCAGTTGGCGAAGCAGAAGTTTAACAGCAGTGAAAAAGAGAAGAAAATGAGCAGACGTGATTCATCAAACAGAACGGACTCGGTGGTTTGAGACCAACAACGGAGGCTAACCGTGTCGCGAGCTTCTACTTTTTGTTTTAAACCGTTTTAAGCCCACCTGCTTTCGCGGGGTGGCTCATCATCTGTCTGAGGAGGAACTAGCGCAGCGGCTAACGAGCTAGCTGTCCGCGAGAGAAGTCGTGGGGGAGTCGCTAAGCTAACGGCGCCGCTGGGGACCTCCGAGTTAATCCAGGGGAACCACCGGAGGAGGTGTTACCCAGGCCAGAACCAGCTGGGCTTTTTTCTTTTGTTCGTGTTTTTTAATTTTTATTTTTGTGGCGAAGCTAACTGGGCTACATGTATGCTAGCAGCGGCTAACGAGCCCAGCTTATTGGACGCGACTGGTCTGGATGTTGTCAGGAGAAAAGAACCGGGACACCCCGCCATGACCCGTTTGTTTTAACCAGTTAAATGAGGTCGTTCTGCCCCCAGTAGAACCGGACCCGGAGCATGCGGCAGGAGGAAGGGCTCCAGAGAAGTAGATAGTCGGACAACAGAGACCCAGCCGAACCAGACCCAGTTGTTTTGTCGCGAGTGGCCTGGAAGATAAAAAGTGAAGGATGAAGAAGTTTTCTAGGATGCCCAAGTCCGAAAGCGGGGGGCTCGGAGGGGCGTCCGGTACCAGTTCGAGTTCTGGAGTCAGCAGCTACTACGGGAAAGTGTTCGCAGTCGGCCGGTACCAAGTCACCGTGGAGGAGCTCATAGCTGAAGGTATGTGCCACATTTCTGGGTCACACCCGCCTTCTCTTTACATCTGGTTTGGAGCTGGTCCAGTGAGCCCCCTCCCTCCCCGCCCCCAACATCTGCTTCATCCCAGAGGAGACGAAGGAGGTCACCCTCCTCTTCAGGCTGCTGTGGTTCTGGAGCTCCAGGGATTTGGATCAGAACTTGTAGCTCTGTTTTCATACAGCTGTGCTACATCCTGCTTCAGCTGCTCCACTTTGGGAGGGTTTGACCCCTCAGGGTACCAGCAGACCACCATGCTGGGTCAACATTAAGATCACTTTGTCCAACAAGCTAAAACACTGCTCCTCTTTTAGCTTTTATCTCATGAGCGCATGTAAAATAAACCACTTTACAACTAATTCATAAATAAAACAACTGCAACAATACAGAAACACACTGAAACAAAACAATCAGTGCAGAATAGAAGCTAAAATCTACAAAACAGCAGCTAAGTTCTAAAGTTAGGGAAACTGGCTAAATTCAAAAAGTACGGTAGTTAAAATATTTGCTAAAAACCAATAAAAGCACAACAGTAGATAACAGCTAAATGTAGCAAAACTAAAAACTGAAATTGGGGAAAACAGGAAAAAGCTAAAATAACTAAACTACAGGTAAAAGTAAAAAAAAAACCAGCAAAAATGTACAAATTTGTAGCTATAATGAGCAAAAATTGCTGGAATCAAATGGACAAGACTAAGTGCTAAAGTTGGGAAAACTCAAAATTTTAAAAAAGCTGTTAAAATGTTTGCTAAAAACCAATAGCAAACTGTACGTAAAAGCTGAAATTGGGAAACACAGGAAAAAGCTAAGATAAAGGTAAAAGTAAAAAAAAAAAAAAAAAGGCAAAAATAGCAGGAATTTTAAAATGACAAGACTAATTGCTAAAGTTGGGAAAACTTCGTAAACAATCTAAAAGTAGTAAAAATGTTGGCTAAAACCAGTCAGGGCACAACAGTAGCTGAACGTAAGTGGTAACAATACCTAGAAGCTAAAATTGTGAAAAACAGCAAAAAGCTAAATTTACCAGAGGTAAAGGCGAAGGGATTTTAACAGTTGCTACAAACTGAAAAACCAAAACTCACTGAAGTTAAAAGCTAAAATTAGCCTGACAGTCAATAAACCGAAGCTAAAAGCTGAAATAGACAAGATCATGGCCTTAGTGTTAAAAAAACAAGTTAAGTAAATCTCTGCGGTTGCCTCAAGCTAATATTAGATTAGCTAAAGACTAAAAGTAGCAAAACAATTGCTAAAAGCTAAAACTGGAAAAAAGTTTGGCACAAAGTTAAAACTAGCGAAACAGCTAGCTTACATTAGCAAAAAGAGGCGAAAAGTTAACCAGAAACCTAAAAGCCAAGCTCATCAACACAATAGCTAAAAGCTAAAAATTGCAAAAATAGTAACGAGCAAAAAATTTAACAGTTCCTACAAACAAAAAATGGCAAAACTAAAGTTAAAAGCTAAAATTGCCAACAAAGTTGCTACAACCTGAAGTTGGTGAAACTAAATCTAACGCAGCTGAAATTGACGAGACTAGTTAAAGGGATCCATGATTAGTTGTAACATCAGACTTTATTTAATAAACATATATTTTAACTGTAAAATAAAGACTGTAAAAATACTGTAGGCTCTTTAGTTTTGTAAAACTTTTAAAACATATTTTAACACGGACGGAGCCATTTTATTTACACACAAAGCATTCTGGGTAAATGATGACGTGGATAGGTCCTCGGTGCGAGGCTGTTAGCGAGCTATATCCACCCTGAAGGTTAATCTTGGACAATATCTGATGATCGACTCTTAAATGAAACCAGAGAGCGTTGACAGAGAGGAGAAGGTAGAAATGACTCAGCCTGGAACTGAAAATATGGATGGAGGACCTCACTTTAGCTTGTTTGTTGCGCTAGCACCGAGCTAATACATATAAGGAAATATAGCGTCGGCGCTAGCACAAAGGCTAACAGGCTAAGCTGTGGTTCTTCTTCCATGAAGCAGCTCTGTTGTCCTCCATCCATATTTTCAGTTCCAGGCTGAGTCATTTCTACCTTCTCCTCTCTGTCAACGCTCTCTGGTTTCATTTAAAAGAGTCGATCATCAGATATTGTCCAAGATTAACCTTCAGGGTGGATATAGCTCGCTATCAGCCTCGCACCGAGGACCTATCCACGTCATCATTTATCATATTTAAGATAGTTCCTTGATAATTTGACTCGAGGTGACCCCTACACACACAAGGACTTTGTTTCCAGCAGATGTTGTCTCTCCAATACACATATATGGTGGAAGCAAGATATAAAC